CCCAAGAAAATTATTAGTGTATACTCCAAATAGAACTCAAAGTATACAACACTTGGGTTTGAAGATAAGAAGAAGCACCTTGAGTCGGAAATTCAAAATCAAGAACAAAAATGGGCAAAAGCAGGGAAAAAAATGAAAAAAAAAAAAAAAAAAAAAAGAATTGTCCTCAAAGAGATGAAGGAAAATGACAGGTTATCTTAAATGAAGAAAATAAGATACCAGATATTGAAAATAGAGTCAAATGAAAATTTGTGCAGATGTTAAATAAGGAATAGATGGCTGGGCATGGTGGCTCATGCCTGTAATCCCCGTACTTTGAGAGGCCGAGGTGGGTGAATTCATGAGGTCAGGAGTTCGAGACTAGCCTGGCCAACATGGTGAAACCCCATCTCTGAAAAAAAAAAAAAAGAAAAGAAAAAAATAAAAAAGAAGGAATAGATAACAACCAAGAGAATGAAAGAAAGTAAAAAGAATCAGAAAAATTACTGAAAATGGAAAACAGACAAAGAAGCACTGATTTTCTTTCATATTATAGGAGTCTGAAGAAAAAAAAATTTTTTTATTATACTTTAAGTTCTGGGATACATTTGCAGAACGTCCAGGTTTGTTACAGAGGTATACATGTGCCATGGTGGTTTGCTGCACCCATCAACCCGTCATCTACGTTAGGTATTTCTCCTAATGTTCTTCCTCCCCTTCCTCCCCCTTTCCCCTGGCCAAGAAGCCTCTTTGTATGATGTTCCCCTCTCTGTGCCCATATGTTCTCATTGTTCACCTTCCACTTATGAGTGAGAACATGCAGTGTTTGGTTTTCTCTTCCTGTGTTAGTTTGCTGAGAATGATAGTTTCCAGCTTCATCCATGTCCCTGCAAAGAACATGAACTCATTCTTTTTTTATGGCTGCTTAGTATTTCATGGTGTATATGTGCCACATTTTCTTTATCCAGTCAATCATTGATGGGCATTTGGGTTGGTTCCAAGTCTTTGCTACTGTAAACAGTGCCACAGTAAACATACGTGTGCATGTGGCTTTACAGTGGAATGATTTATAATCCTTTGGGTATATACCCAATAATGGGATTGCTGGGTCAAATGGTATTTCAAGTTCTAGATCTTTGAAGAATCTCCACACAGTCTTTCACAATGGTTGAACTAATTTACATTCCCACCAACAATGTAGAAGCATTCCTATTTCTCCACATCCTCTCCAGCATCTGTTGTTTCCTGACTTTTTAATCGCCATTCTAACTGGGGTAAAATGGTATCTCATTGTAGTTTTGATCTGCATTTCTCTAATGATTAGTGATGATGAGCTTTTTTTCATATGTTTGTTGGCCACATAAATGTCTCCTTTTGAGAAGTGTCTGTTTACGTCCTTCACCCACCTTTTGATGGGGTTGTTTTTTTCTTGTCAATTTGTTTAAGTTACTTGTAGATTCTAGATATTAGCCCTTTGTCAGATGGATAGATTGCAAAAAGTTTCTGCCATTCTGTAGCTTGTATGTTCACTCTGATGATAGTTTCTTTTGCTGCGCAGAAGCTCTTTAGTTTTAATTAGACCCCATTTGTCAGTTTTGGCTTTTTGCCATTACTATTTTTGCTGTTTACAACACTTGGAAAGAATTTTTTTTAAATGTTATGGGTACATAGTAGATATTTATGGGGTAGATGGGATATTCTGATATAGGCATACAGTGTATAATAATCACATCAGGGTAAATGCAACATCCACCACAAGCATTTATCATTTCTTTGTGTTATCAATGTTCTAATTATGCTTTTAGTTATTTTTAAGTGTACAGTAAATTATTGTTCACTCTAGTCATTTTGTTGTGCTATCAAATACTAGATTTTATTCATTCTATCTAACTATATTTATGTACTTATGGGTCTTTTGTGTGTGACTTTTATTGTGTTGATGTATGATTTTTCTATGCCCAGTTTTGTGAGAGTTTTTATCATGAAAGTATATTGAATTTTATCAGCTTTTTCAACATCAATTTAAATGATCTTAGGGTTTTTGTCCTTCATTCTGTGGATATGATATATCACGTTGATTTGCATATGTTGAACCATCCTTGCTGCCCTGGGATAAATTCCACATGGTTATGATGAATTATCTTTTTAGTATTTCGTTGAATTCAGTTTGATAGTATTTTGTTGAGGATTTTTATATCACTGTTCACCAGGGATATTGGCTTGCAGTTTTTTTGTGTGTGTATCTTTGTCTGTTTTGGTGTCAGGGTAATACTAGCCTCATAGAATGAGTTTGGAAGTGTTTCCTGCTCTGTTTTTCGCAATGGTTTGAGTAGGATTCATTTGGTTCTTCCTTAAGTGTTCAGTAAAGTTCAACAGTGAAGCCATTGGGCCTCAGGCTTTTCTTTGCTGAGAGACATTTTATTACAGCTTTGGTTTTACTACTTGTTATTGATCTGTTCAGGTTTTTAATTTCTTCCTGGTTCAGCATTGGTCGTTGTTTGTGTCTAGCAATGTATCCATTTCTTCTAGGTTTTCCAGTTCTTGGCTTGCTTATAGCGGCCTCTAATGATCCTTTGAATTTCTTCAGTATCAGTTATAATGTCTCCTTTTTCATCTCTGAGTTTATCTATTTGGGTCTTCTCTTTTTTACTTTGGTTGTTGATCAAAGATTTGTCAATTTTATCTTTTCAAAAAAAAAACAACTTTTATTTCATTGATCTTTTATATTTTTTTGTTTTCAATTTCATTTGTCTCTGCTCTGATCTGTATTATTTCTTCTACTAATTTTGAGTTTGGTTTACTTTTTTCTTTCTTTAAGATGCATCATTAGCCTGTCTATTTGGATGTTTTCTACATTTTTTTTTTATCTAAATGCTTATTGATAAAAATGTCACTCTTAGTAATACTTTCACTGTATACCATAGGCTCCTTTTTCTTCCTTTTTTTTCTTTTTTTTTTAAGTTTTCTTTGCGTAGACAGTCTCTTGCTTTATTGCTCAGGCTTGTCTTAAACTCCTGCCTTCAAGCAGTCCACCTGCATTGGTCTCCCAAAATGTTAGGATTACAGGTGTGAGACACCATTCCTGGCCTTCTATAGGTTATTGTATATTGTATTTCCATCTTCATTTGTTTAAACAATTTTTTTTTATTTTCTTCTTAATTTTTTCATTGACCCACTGGTCATTTTGGAGCATATTGTTTATTTCCAAGTTTCTCTTGTTATTGAATTGTAGTTTTATTGCTCTGTGGTCAGAGAAGGAGGTTGATACGATTTCAATTATTTTGAATTTTTAAATTTATCTTGTGGCCTAACATATGGTCTATCCTTGAGAATGATCCATGTGCACTGAGGAGTATATGTCTTCTGCAACTGTTGTATTAACATGTTCTGTAAATATCTTTTGGGTCCATTTGGTCTATAGTGTAGATTAAATCTGATGTTTGTTTCTTGATTTTCTGTCTGAATGATCTGTCCAGTGCTGAAAGTGGGGTGTTAAAGTCTCCATTTATTGTATTATGGTCTGTCTCTCTCTTTAGTTCTATTAATATTTGCTTTATATATCTGGTTGCTCTAGTGTTGGTTGCATATATATATATTTACTATTGTTATATCCTTCTTAATTAATCCCTTTATCATATGATAACCTTCCATACTTCTTGTTGGTTCTGTCTTGAAATATATGATGTCTGATATAAGTATAGCTAGTCCTGCTTCTTTTTGCTTTCCATTGGCATGGAATATCTTTTTCCATTATTTTATTTTCAGTCTGTGTCTTTATAGATGACATGTATTTCTTGTAGGCAACAGATCATTGGGTGCTGCTTTTTTTTTTTTTAATCCATTCAGTCACTCTGTTTTTTGATTGGAGAGTTTAATCCATATACATTCATATTGTTATTAATAAGCAAGGACTTATGCCATTTTGTTATTTGTTTTCTGATTATTTTGTGGTCTTCTTTTTTTTTTTTTTAATTGCATTTTAGGTTTTGGGGTACATGTGAAGAACATGCAAGATTGTTGCATAGCTACACATGTAGCAGTGTGATTTGCTGCCTTCCTCCCCCTCACATACATCTGGCATCTCTCCCCTTGCTATCTCTCCCCAACTCCCCACCCCCCACCGTCCCTCCCCTGTTTCCCCCCAACTGACCCCAGTGTGTAGTGCTCCCCTCCCTGTGTCCATGTGTTCTCATTGTTTAACACCCACCTATGAGTGAGAACATGCAGTGTTTGATCTTCTGCTCTTCTGTCAGTTTGCTGAGAATGATGGTTTCCAGGTTCATCCATGTCCCTACAAAGGACCCAAACTCATCGTTTTTGATGGCTGCATAACATTCCATGGTGTATATGTGCCACATTTTCCCTGTCCAGTGTATTGTCAATGGGCATTTGGCTTGGTTCCAGGTCTTTGCTATTGTAAACAGTGCTGCAATGAACATTCATGTGCATGTGTCCTTATAGTAGAACGATTTATAATCCTTTGGATATATACCCAGTAATGGGATTGCTGGGTCAAATGGAATTTCTATTTCTAGGTCCTTGAGGAATTGCCACACTGTCTTCCACAATGGTTAAACTAATTTACACTCCCACCAACAGTGTAAAAGTGTTCCTATTTCACCACATCCTCTCCAGCATCTGTTGTCTCCAGATTTTTTAATGATTGCCACTCTAACTGGCGTGAGATGGTATCTCAATGTAATTTTGATTTGCATTTTTCTGATGACCAGTGATGATGAGCACTTTTTCATATATTTGTTGGCCTCATGTATGTCTTCTTTTGTAAAGTATCTGTTCATATCCTTTGCCCACTTTTGAATGGGCTTGTTAGTTTTTTTCTTGTAAATCTGTTTTAGTTCTTTGTAAATTCTGGATATCAGCCCTTTGTCAGATGGGTAAACTGCAAAAATTTTTTCCCATTCTGTTGGTTGCCGATTCACTCTAATGATTGTTTCTTTTGCTATGCAGAAGCTATGGAGTTTGATTAGGTCCCATTTGTCTATTTTGGCTTTTGTTGTCAATGCTTTTGGTGTTTTGGTCATGAAGTCCTTGCCTACGCCTATGTCCTGAATGGTTTTGCCTAGGTTTTCTTCTAGGGTTTTTAATGGTGTTAGGTCTTATGTTTAAGTCTTTAATCCACCAGATGAGCATTTCTTATAAGATAGGTCTAGTGTTGAAGTCCCTCAGCTTTTGTTTTTCTGTGAAAATCTTTATTTGAGGGATATTTTTATACTATTCTAAGATAAAAGATTTTTCTTAAGCACTTTAAATATTTCATGTTCTGTAAAGTTTCCACTGAGAAGTCTTCTGCCAGATATATTGGAGCTCCATTGTATGTTGTTTCTTTTCTCTTGCTACTTTTAGGATCTTTTTGCTTAATCTTTTGGAGTTCGATTATTTAGTGCTTTGAGGTAGCCTAATTTGGGTTAAATCTCCTTGATGTTCTGTAACCTTCTTATATGTTCATATTGATCTCTTTCTATGTTGTTATACCTTTGAATAAACTTCATACCTTCACCTCACTATTTTCTTTTTAAGAACAGTGACTCTTGGAGTTACCCTTTTGAGGGTATTTTGTAGGTCTTGTAGGCTTGCTAATTTCTTTCTTACTCTTTTTTATCTCCTCTGACTCTGTATTTTTAAATAGTCTGTCTTCATGCTCACTCACTGTATCTTCTGCGTAATAAATTGTGCTGTTGAGAGACCCTGATGTATATCATCATATCAATGGACTTTTCGACTCTAGAATTTCTCCTTAACTTTATTAAATTTGTGCAGTCTGTTAACTTTATTTAATAGGAATCTGAATTTCGTCTCTGTTATCTTCAGTTTCATTGAGCTAACTCAAAAATAGCTATTTTGAATACTGTATCTTAAAAGCCACATATCTCTGTCATTCCAATATTTATCATTTTTGCCTTATTTAGTTTCTTTGGTGAGGTCATCTTTTCCTGGATGTTCTTAATGCTTATGGATGTTCGCTGATTTTTGGTCATTAAAAGTTACGTATTTTTTGTAGTCCTTGCAGTGTGGGCTTCTTTGTATGCATTCTTCTTAGTAAGGTTTTCTAAGTATTCAATGGGAACGGACTGTTGTGATCTAAGTCTCTAGTTGCTGCAGCAGTATCTGCATTAGGTGGTACCCCAAGCCTAGTAATGTTGTGACTCTTGCAGACTTATAAGTAGAGATCTGCCTTGCTGGTCTTGGTAAGATCCAAGAGAATTCCCTGGATTACCAGGCAGAATCTCTTGTTTTCTACCCTTTCCCCTAAATGGGGTCTGTTTGTGTTGAGCTGCATGGGGCTGGGATAAAGATGACACAAAGCACCACTGTGGCCACTACCACTGGGACTATACTGGGTCAGAACCAAAGCCACCACAACACTGGGTCTTGCCTAAGGCCAACAGTGACCACCGCCTGGCTACTGCTGATGTTTACTCAAGGCCTAAGGGCTCCCCGGTAGGTGTCAGTCAATAGTTGACAAATTTAGCCAGGCTTGTTGCCTTCCCTTGAGGGTGGCAAGCTACCCCCTGGGCCAGGGCCTGGAGTCAGGAGCCTTAGGTATCTACTTGATGCTCTATTCTATTGGGGCTGAATTAGCACTCAAGCCGCAAGTCCTTCCCACTCTTCTCTCACCTTTCTTCATGATAAGAGTGTCGATGATAGACTGGACAGGGAAAATGTGGCACATATACACCATGGAATGTTATGCAGCCATCAAAAACGATGAGTTTGGGTCCTTTGTAGGGACATGGATGAACCTGGAAACCATCATTCTCAGCAAACTGACAGAAGAGCAGAAGATCAAACACTGCATGTTCTCACTCATAGGTGGGTGTTAAACAATGAGAACACATGGACACAGGGAGGGGAGCACTACACACTGGGGTCAGTTGGGGGGAAACAGGGGAGGGACGGTGGGGGGTGGGGAGTTGGGGAGAGATAGCAAGGGGAGAGATGCCAGATGTATGTGAGGGGGAGGAAGGCAGCAAATCACACTGCTACATGTGTAGCTATGCAACAATCTTGCATGTTCTTCACATGTACCCCAAAACCTAAAATGCAATAAAATAAATGAATGGGGAAAAAAAAAAAGTGTCTTCCTGTGTCATCCACCGCCCCAGGACTGTAATTAGTATTGCTGGGATACTGCTGATGTTCACTCAAGTTTCAAGGGCTCTTTAGTCATCTTGTGGTGAATACTGCCAGGCCTGGGTCTCTCCTTTTAGGGTAGTGAGGTCCCTTCAGGCCCAGGGCTCGTCTAGAAATGGCATCCCAGAGCCAAGGCCTGGAATTGAGGACCCCAGGAGCCCATATGATACTCTGTCCTAGGAAAGAAGTAGTTTTAGAAACTTTAAGTTAAGGTCATCAAAATATGCTTTTATCAAGTAATTATAATCAAATCAGTTCTGGTAAGGTCCTGTAGCATTGCAGTATCATTGCAAAAATATGTTTTGGGATCTCTGACATCCCATTATTTTGGGTGCTAGTCTTACTAGAGTGTGATTCTTATGAGAGGAGAGATCATATATAACTTCATAATTAACATTTTCTTTTATTATCATTGTAGCCAAAAATCACAGTAATATAATTTATCCATATTATGCCTTTATTTGAGACTAAAAATTAAAGACAGGGTTTTGTTTTATTTAGAGATTCTCAGAATTGAATAAACTATCAGGCAGATACATCAAGTCAATATGTTATATGAAAGAATTGGAAATGAATAATGAATAATTATATTTAGCTTTCCTATGTATTTTCCTGAAAAGAATGCAAGTAAGGTTTACAAACAGAAAACAATTGTTGAAGATCTTTTCACTTAGAGTTGATATTATTTTTCAGACTGACTTTGGGGAGTCCATTCCTCTTAGGCTGTTAGCACATTTTTATTAAGTAACTTTCGTTATTTTAACATCTTTCATTGTAGGGTGGGCTGCGAAGGTTTCTCTGACAAAGTATTAGTGTATTTTAATGAGTTTGATGCCACCAAACTTAAGGTGCACCATATAATTATATGCTTTATTAACTATTCAAGTTCGTATCAGCTGTAAAACACATGCTTGTTTCAGAGATGTAAAAATGTGTGTGTTGGGGGAGTTTTTATAATGAGTGAAATGGGGAATTTGAGAAGCCATGCTATTTAGAGGAAGTGGTGACCAGATAAGAAGGCACATTAGTTGTAAAGGCCAACGATGACTAGTTAAAGAAGGCCAGTATGGTTGGAGCAGAGTAGACGGGGAAAAGGAAAGTTGTAGTGAGGTCTGGTTGTGGAGAGCCTTGCGGATCATCCTTAAGGACTTGGACTTTAATGCTGAGTGAGATGGGAAGTTACTGGAGGTTTGAACAGAGGAGTGATTTGATCCTTGCAACAGGATCACTTGGGCTGCTGTGTTAAGAATAGATTGTAGGAGCCAGGGATGGAAGCAGGAAAATAGAATCAGGCAGCCTTTGAAGGCTGTTGCACGTAATCCAGATGAGAAATGGTGGTGGCTTGGATCAGAGTTACAGTGGTAGAGATTATGAAAAGCACTTGGATTCTGGATTTCTTTCGAAGGCAGAACTGACAAGATTTGCAGATTTGCTAATGAATTCCTATGGAGTATGAGAGAAATAATGAATCAGATGATTCAGGTCTAAGCACCTGTATTGTTACCATTTAGAGAAATGTGGAATCCTACAGGAGAAGTTGAGGAAGGCAAATCAGATGATCAGTTTTGGATTATGTTGAGAAGCCTCTTAGGCATTACAAGAAGATAATAGAGCAACTAAGAAAAAGTCTAGAGACGAGGGTAGAGGGCCCAGTTGGAGTTATATGCATGTGTGCACATGAGTGTATGTATAACGTAGGGCATGTATGTGTGAGAGTTTATCATTTGATTCTTGCATTTTTGACTGTTGCTTCAGAATTCCATTTTTCCCCTTCTGTTTTCTGTGATTTTATCATTAGAGGTTTTCTCCAAATGTCTGAGCTTTGGCTGTCCTTAGCAATGAGGTATAAGGAGAGATTAAGCAGCTGGCTTCTATAAAGGACTTTTGTGAAGGAAGAAAGAGTAGAGTTAACCAATGGTCTATTTTTAAGTATAATTTTTATTTTTTAACTTTTTATTTTGAAATCATTTTACATAGAAGAGTTGCAAAAATAATGTAGGTAACTCTTATAAGTACCTAAGTTCAGAAAATTATGTAAATGATGTAGTGTTTTTCTCAGGGTATCACATCAGAGACATAGATAGTGTTGATCCCTCATTTGACATTAATTTCAATAATTCAGCAAAGGACCAAGGGTTGTCTAGTTTTTCTGCTTTGTAGTTTCTGTATCCTTGAAACTAGAAGGTAAGATCCATGGAAGATACATTAAAACTGTGTAAACAGTAAGATACCATCTCACACCTGTCAGAATGGCTATTATTAAAAAGTGAAAGAAACAACAGATGCTGAGGTTGCAGAGAAAAGGGAACACTTGTATATTGTTGGTGGGACTGTAAATTAGTTCAACCCTTGTGGAAAGCAGTATGGTGATTTCTCACAGAGCTAAAAGCGAAACTACCATTGAACCGAGCAGTCTTATTATTGGGTATATACGCAGAGGAATATAAATCCTTCTACCATAAAGACATATGTACTTGAATGTTCATTGCAGCACTGTTCACAATTAAAAAAAGAAAAAGACATGGAGTCAACCTAAATGTCCATCAGTGACAGTTTGGATAAAGAAAATGTGGTATATAGACACCATGGAATACTCTGCAGCCATAAAAAGAATGAGATCATGTGTTTTGCAGGAATGTGGATGGAGCTAGAGACCGTTATCCTTAGCATAGTAATGCAGAAACAGCACCACATATTCTCACTTATAAGTGGGAACTAAATGGTGGAAACTCATTAACACCAAGAAGGGAACAGTGGACTCTGGGGTCTACTTGAGGGTAGAGGGTGGGAGGCGGGAGAGGAGCAGAAAAGATAACTATTGGCTACTGGGTTTACTACCTGGGTGATGAAATAACCTGTACAACAAATCCCTATGATACACGTTCACCTACCTTCACATGTACCCCCGAACCCAAAATAAAAGTTAAAATAAAAAAAGACTATAATAATCTTATTCCCTCATCATCATTTTCTCTTATTTAGCAATTATTTATGATGCCTCTGCCACTCAATCTTTTTTTAATGTTTGCAAAGTAGTGATTTTTTCAATACTGCAAACATTGCAGTTTATCAACCAGCATTATATATATATATATTACGTTTTAGATTTTGCGGTGCACAAGAACAGAAAATCAAACAGCCAGCATTTTACTATTAAAAAAACAAACAGTGCAAATCAGTCATTTGAGAAAAAATAAAATACAAATAAACAAAATCCAGTCCTTTTTTGTCCCGTTAAATAACATAGGGGACTTACCTGTTTCTACTTAATATTGAATGTGTTATCTATTACTGTACTCATATATTTTGATAATCAAATTGTCTTAGGTGGAAGCACCTTTGAGCTGATTCCTTGGTCCTTTTGACATACTCCCATGGCTTTTTTTTTCCCCCCTTACGAAAGCTCAAGATATTTTGGATTCATCTTACTTTATACCTCCCCTGCCCCATTCCTGGAGTTAGCCATTTATCTGAGGAGCCTTGCTTGCTTTGGATGGGGAAATAGTATCAGATGGGAGTAGAGGGTGAGAGTTTCACTACTCAATTTAGGCTTTGCCTTGATCTTTCTGTTTTGAACCCTTTTCCTCAGCTTTCTTTCATAGCGCTTACTTTAGGGTTCTTTCAATTCAACATATCCAAATAGAAAACCTCTAATCCTGCTAGAAGGGTAATTTGGCTGTTTTTAGGGATGGTGTTTAAGCAGACTAATTGCTTCTTACTTTTAATTAGTTCTTCTGTTTATAGCTTCAGAGGAATCTGAAGTTAGAAATTGCTGATTCTCATTCTTTTTATTCTTTCTGTGGGTCTTTGGAACAAATAGGATTGCTTCTTATCCTGTTCTCCCTCACTGCATGCAGGTTTCCCTAGTCATCTTAATTTGTTCATTTGCTTTCAGATATCTGAAATGTGATTGAATTCTCTTTTTTTGTTGTTGTTGTGCTCTTCCTTCTTATTTCTTTTATTTGTTTGTTTGTTTGTTTTTTGTTTGAGGCAGAGTCTTTCTCTGTTGCCCAGGCTGGAGTGCAGTGGCACCATCTCGTTTCACTGCAAAGTCCACCTCCAGGGTTCAAGCAATTCTCCTGTCTCAGCCTCCTGAGTAGCTGGGATTAACAGGTGCTGCACCACCACACCTGGCTAATTTTTCTATTTTTAGTAGAGTTGGGGTTTTGCATGTTGGTCAGGCTGGTCTCGAACTCCTGACCTCAGTTGATCTGCCCACCTCAACCTCCCAAAGTGCAGGGATTACAGGTGTGAGCCACTGTGCCCAGCCTCCTCCTCCTTATTTTCTTATTTCTAGTTTGATGTCTTTTCTTATCTTTTAAGTGGGGTTTGTTAAGTAAGTAAAGATGAATATATTAATCTTTCATATTTACCCACTAGTCTTATGTATTTTATTTTATTTATTTATTTATTTATTTTTATTTTATTTTTTTTTTTTTTTGAGACGGAGTCTCGCTCTTGTTACCCAGGCTGGAGTGCAATGGCGCAATCTCGGCGCACCGCAACCTCCGTCTCCTGGGTTCAGGCAATTCTCCTGCCTCAGCCTCCTGAGTAGCTGGGATTACAGGCACATGCCACCATGCCCAGCTGATTTTTTGTATTTTTAGTAGAGATGGGGTTTCACCATGTTGACCAGGATGGTCTCGATCTGTTGACCTCGTGATCCACCCGCCTCGGCCTCCCAAAGTGCTGGGATTACAGGCTTGAGTCACCGCGCCCGGCCTTTATTTATTTATGTATTTATTTTTTAAGATGGGGTTTTACCATGTTGGTCAGGTTGGTCTTGGAACTCCCGACCTCAGGTGATCTGCCCGCCTTGACCTCCAAAGTGCTTAGATTACAGGCGTGAGCCACCACGCCCTTCCCAGTCTTATGTATTTTAAAATGAACATTTTCTCCATTAATAAAAGTATTATGTATGATTTATGGAAAATACAGGTAAGCAAATGAAAACAATTAGCTCTACTCATATAGTTTATAGGTAGTTATTGTTAATCCTTGATGTGTTTTTTTATACATACAAACTTGCTTATTAAAATAGCTGGATAATATTCTATGGAGTAGGTATCCTATTAGTTTTGGGGGTTTTTTGTTTGTTTGTTTGTTTTATGTCTTATTAGGCCTTTGCTCTCATTGAACTGACCTTCTGTGAACTTATTTGTGCTACATATCATTATGGTTGAGACATTGAGGGTAAGCAATAAGGCAGTTAAAAACCCCAGAAATTTTTAGAAATAACACTAAGAGGTTTTAAAGACTATGTCAGAGGAGATTTTGGTAGCATTAGTTCATGTCTTTCATGAACTAGGATGTAGTTTCATGGAAACACAACTGAGAGAGAAAACCTAACCAATTTTACTATACTTTATCTAAAAAAAGACTGTTTCTGTGTCACATATTTCAACCTGCCCTGTTTTCAGCCCAGCTGTACCCTTGATGTTATGGATCAGGGAAAGCCAAGTAAAGGGAGAGCCAATAAGCAGAGCAGTATCAAAATGAGACCAAGATATTTAGAAATTTACTTACAAAGAAGGTTTACAAGAGAATACAGACTTCAGAAGAACCAACTCCCCGAATAAAAATGCTGTCAGTTTTAAAGGGAGGAAAACAAGTTTCCAAAGTTTACATCTAGTCTCTACATAGTAGGAAAAACAACAGTTTTTCATACTTTTCATCTGATTATCATATCTGCAAAGGTCATCATGTATCTTCAGATAACAGCTTTGCAGAAGTCAAGGATAAAGGGGTTGTTAGGGAGTCAGTAGTTAAAGGAACAGTTCAAGGGTTTTGTTAATTTGGGAATTTGGGGAACTTTAAGTGGGATGACTGGATTTTTTTTTCCTCCATCTCAGAGTACAAAGTATTTTTTCCTCTTGAGTGTGATGTGCAGACTTTCCATAATTACACAGGACAAGGCATCAGTTTTGTCTCCAAAGAACGACATTATGCATGGAAAAGAAAAGCCTAAATATTTTTCACTGTTTCCAGTGTTATTTAGAGGAGGGAGTTCCCTGACCAGCCAGAGTATTTTACTATCCAGTCCTATGGTTTTGTTATATCCAACAAGTTATCATTTTGATCACCTAACTACCTTTGCTCTAGTTTCTTATTTCAAGCCATTAAATCGGATGGGAAGCATATGTGAAGAGGTGGGAGTTAGAGGTTGAAATTTTAGATAAGGTGACAAAGGAAGGGATTCACTTGAGTCAGTACCTTCAGGAAGCAACAGATAAACAATGAATGTATTTGGAGGAGAGTATTCTAGGAAGAGGAAAGAGTGGCTCTGAGGTTACGTCAGGGGTATAGAGTTTGTCATGGAGAGCATTGAAGGACTTTGAACAGAGGAGTGACATGATTTGGTTTTCCTTTTAATCATTCTGTTGTATATACTAAATATATGGTAATCGGTAGTGATAAGTACACACACACAAAAAATCACGATTTCTGTGCTCTTATATCTTCCCAGAGTTGGGATATAGTTATCTGAAGCCCAGTGTTATAAATTGGAATAAAAAATACAACCTCTTTAACTTATCATTTAATTCATCTATAATTTAAAATGCTTTAGGCTGTCAGATTATCTAAAACATGTTTCCTTTTTCCACCTGTTTGTGTTTTTATGTTACATAAATAATCCCTATGAATTGATAGAGACAGTTTTAGAGAAGATTGTATTGTTTCAAAGCTAAATTAGTGTCTTTTAAACCTTGATTTTATTTTTTATTGAATAAATTAAAAAATAGGTTGTTTAAAGTATGTAGCTGACATTTGAGTGCTTTTGCTATGCCAAACATTGCTCAAAATGTTTTCACTGTTTGCACATACAAAATATAGATTATCACATTCAGTCCTCTCAAAAAACCAATGAGGTAAGTTTTATTATTACCCCCACATTCATAGATAAGGAATTGAAACTTCAGGAGTTTAAGTGAATTTGCCTGATGTTACAAAAGTCTATATACCATCTCTAACCTTTGATAGGCTGGAAAGTAACATAGAAGAGTTCTGTATATGAATATGTCAATTCCAGGGAAAGCTAAATTGTAATTGTTGAAAAAAGGGAAAACAAAGAAAAAAAAAAAAAGGCTAATAGTAAGCCCCTAAGCAGAAAAACAAATATCTGAAAGAACAGACCCTTTGTCAAGTTTAAGGAAAAGGGACCTAGGAACAATATAATTTTCAAAGGACATGTTAATCACCCTGTTTTGTGAAAATGCCTCAGGAGCCATTTGGTGAGAGTGGCGATGATCTTCAGAGGAAAATAAAACTGATAGGGCTCTTCTTTCCTTTCCCATCCCCATACATTTTAAAAATAGGTAGGTATTAAAGTTAAGATTTGGGAAGGTGGGGCAGTAGCAGACAGGATTCTATCACTTAAAATGGAAATTGGAAAAAACATTATACTAAATTGGGGGCTACTGGCCACTAAAAGTTTTTTCACTCTATTTTGAACCCATGTTGAAGCTTTTAGATTTTTCTGGATAGGATTCTTATAAGGAGCACATTTACCAGAAAATTGAAATGGCTGATTATCATGGCATTTGTTCCCTCGCTATAAATCATTAAATTGTCAGTATGGTATGTTTATTGATACATTCCTAAATCTCTTGGAAGCATCTTAGGTTAGACTTAAAAGTCTCTCTATATGGGGCAGTGACAAGATCTAGTTTATGGATTTGTAAAACT